TGAATAAATGTATGCACTGTAAGACGGACAGANTAGACGGTCAAAATAAATCATGGACGTAAGTCAGTGCAACAGGACGCTAAAAATAACATAACAGAGTAATTAGATTTGATGCGAATTTTTGCCTTCTTGAGCGTAAACCTCATTTTTGACATTACATCTATGGGGTGAAAAACGTATTCGATTTACCGCTATTCACGTGCGTGAAGGTGTATCACTACATTCCCGAATCACAGGAATTTGACAGTCGTTTCTGTTTACTCCAGAATTCGAGGATGAATGTCCTTCAGTGCACATAATACAAAGGTTACGCACGAACAGTTTCTCTCTCTGGTGCCAGTAGGACATGACTCTCTCCGACCGGTGTAGCAACCCATAACTGTCTGCACTGTCAGCAACTCCCTTTCTCTTTCATTCACAGATGTGAGGTCTTTAGGTCGTCTATTTGCATCAATTACATTCAATTACCGAAACGTTAAATAAACATATTTAAACCTTTCCCATCAGCAGCTGTAACTACAGGCAATCAGAATCGTCACTACGGCGTGTCCTTATTGTGAGATATGATTATGATCTCATGGGATGTGGCGCCATGTAGCATTATAGAAGTTTTACTTATGTTTCGGAAGAATTATTGCTTCCATCTTCAGGATCGAAGAATAAATTTAGTAAGAAAACAAGCAAAGAACAGGAACAACACCTATAATCCTTAAAATGTTTCCCTTTATATAGGCAGGATATAAAGAGTTATAAATTAATAATTATATATTTAGTGATCAGTTTTAATGCTTAATTTCCACTAACGGCTTACAGAAAACCACTGAAGTAAATTTATCAGAGAAAACTTCAGAATTTCTTGCCTTTATTATATTTTTATTTACTGACACGTTAACATTGTTTGTGGGTATTTTTGTGATCTCTGATTAAAATCGTATTTACGTTGGATTTGAGGTTCTCACAGCGGTGAATAGGAAAATTCTATCTTCTGGAATTGAACGCCTTGTAGTCCGGCGAAAGTCAACATACACTTCGGTGAAAAATATCCCCTTTTCCTTCAGGGGCGAAAATTAAGCGAAACAAGAAAACGGCAAAACGCAGGCTGGTCTCTTGTTTGGTTTACTCCTCGATCCTGAAGACATTTCTGTGAAATGTCGGCTGAATTTTACCGGACTACATGTCGTCACAACACAGAATACGAAACTCTTTCCAATTTTGTCTAACTCGCTGAATGGTTCAGATTCTTAAGAATTACCGATCCTGCTTCATGAAGGCAGTTGCGTTCTGTAGTAATGTGCAACTTGCGTTAACTGCGTTGTGGTTCGGGCATGTTTACACAAACCCAGTGGTGGCTCCTCCACTTATGTATTTTTTACAATTGTGTCTACTGCCTCACTGAGGTTTTGTGTAGATTTCCTTTTCTGTAAGAACTACTAACCCAACTTTCACTCTCGGAATTTCTTATTTTTTTCCCCATATTTTAAACACAGGATCTGTACATTGGGGAGTCGAGACAGCTCATCTATACGAGTATAGTGATCAGGGCAGGGTTGACTACCAGATTCGATTCCTGTCATCAACAGGCATATTCTCTTCACCAGGGCATCCAGACCACTTCTGGTATCCACTCAGCTTCCTGTTTAATGGGTGCCTTGAGCATTTTCCGTAGGGTAAAGTAGTCGAGGCGGCATATACACGAGCTATAGTAGCGCGATATTTTGATTGTGTAATTCAGTGAGTCTTATAGTTCCTGTGCTTGCCGTGTCATAGCTCAAGCGGTCAGTGGCTTGCTTCCCGCTTAGGCGGCGCGGGTTCGATTCCGAGTCTGGCCAAGTGGGATTTGTGGTGGGCAAAGTGGCGCTGGGGAAAGTTTTCTCCGAGTACTTCGGTTTCCCCTGCCAATCTTCATTCCACCAATTGCTCCACAATCACCCTCACCTATCATCTGGGGCTGGTACAATAGGCCAGAAGTGGCCGCAGTACAAGGGACTTAGTCCCACCCCACTAGCAATAAAAGAAATAGTTCCTCTGTTAAAGTCCGTTGCCAGGATACGGATATTGGAGACTATAATAGACTGAGGACATTAGTGTTTGCAACATTGAACTGTAAACTTGTAATTGTGAGTTGAGCGTGTAAAGTGGTAGATAATTTCCATATCCAATACAAATCCCCTCTAATAATCAGCCTACACGTGGCAGTGTTATTATTATATTATTATATCTGTTTTTGTTTTATTGCCATAAACCTCGGACAACCGTACCCAATTACACAAGTCCATCTCCTCAAAATGGCGCTTCTCAGTTCCCTTTGCCAGTGAAGGTACCCAATGATAGAAAGGCTACAAATTGCACGTCGAAAGTACGAAGTCTCACGTAAATTTCTTCGGCTGATCCGCTTGCATTTCGTGATAAAAAGTCCAAGAAAACATTTTGCTGTTGTTTCTTTGATATTCTACATTTTCTTTAGGAACACGAGAACGAAACCCGGAACCAAGATGAGCTATGAACCTCGGTAAACCCAACGACTCCACTTAAAACTTGGTAGTTCGATATTAGCTCCAAGTTTTTCATGGACAGTACAAGTGGACTGAGATATAGATTTCTTGGAATAGATTGTAACTAATGTTAAATTAAATTTCGATAGTTAAGAATGGATAAACATGTTAAACTTCGTTTTACATTATTTTATTTTACACTAATGCTACAACATCCATGAGTGTACGGTTATTGGTTAGTAAAACAAAATGAAACTATAATTAAATAAACAAAGTTTGCATTAATTAGTTTTCAAAATGTATTTCAATTATTAAGTGTTCTAAATTAAACTTCTTCCTGTGGGTGTATACTCGTTTATAAAATTTATCTCTTGTTCTATCTCGGCTCTAACCGCTAAAATGCAGTAATTCATGCGATTTAATATAATTAAGACAACCTTTAGTATTGAAGAAATAATGCGCATAGAACAGAAAGATCATGTTTAAAAATCGCCATTATAGGACACACACGTACATACTTGTAATATTAATTCCAATCGCGATGAAAAGAGAGAGTTTGCAACAAGCGGTATATTTTACGAAATGTTATGTTTTCATGTTAAGAGTGGACGACATGAAGTAACTTCGCACAACACCCCATTTGGGCTTCATATAAAACAAGGGTTATGACTGGCTGGTAAGTTCCAAAACAAAATTTGCCAGACACCTTTTAGTATAGGCCCTCCAATATTAAATTTAATCGAAATCCATTCAGTAGTATCTAAAATTACATCTGAATGAATGGGCCCATAATCTGTCCACTATGGGTTCGTTCCATAAAATGTTTGCAAATAACAAAAAGTCGTGTTTTTTTTTTATATGAAACTGAGTTCAGTACTCATGCGCAGTGATCCATTGCAACTCAATGAATAAAAACTTATTATTGCAACAGCCGAGACTAAATTTCATTATGTTAGTAGAGTCAAGGGCTCAATCAGAGATGAAGCCCTAATTGAAGGTCGAGGATGTGCCGGTTGATCCCGTCTAACGCACGCGCACTTCTGTTAACATCGATCTATAATAACAGATGGCGGTTGTCCGTGAACGTGCATCACTGATTTTGTTTCTATGAAATACAAAATTGAAATCTACGCTAAAAGAGGCAATATAATTTTGGTGCCTACCGGTCAGTTTGAACTTCGACTGCAAATGAATAAAAAATCCAATTTATTACATTTCACAGAAGACAAATGCATCCCATTACGTTCTCTGCAGCTTTTATTTGAAACATTTTTAATATGATGAATAGTTACTCGAACTGAAATACAGTGTTATTCTGCCTGGGTGTAGTGTGGTATATAAAGGCCCCATCTAATAAATGGCAAGAGAATTCTATTTTCAATGAAAGAACATGTAAAGAAGCATAGAAAGCGTTTGAAAAAATGATGTTGTTTTAAATTAACTGAAGATAAATACAATTACAACTAATTTTGGTTATTTATTAAATGTAATACATGCTGGAAATTCCTATAAAATATTTGTTGAAGTAGCATGCGAATTATTTATCAATGCCTGTTGTGCTGGCCATCTGTCCGCTGTTATATACACTCTGATAAACCAACAATATTCAGTTGAGAAAACGTTTTTACCAAAAATTTTATGTCAGTAGTCACTCACACAATTTTATGATATAAATCTAATGGAAGGACAAAAACTCTCGAAGTTACTTGGTGTAAGTAACGAGAGTATTGGCAGAAAATCTGGTATTGCGTTGTAAAACTCCACTTGAAGTTAACGGTACTGTCTCTCTCTCTCTCTCTCTCTACCTGGAAGCAAGAGACCATACTAATACCAAAGGTTACCATTGAAAGCTCGTCCTACATACATTCTGAAAATTTATCTATGTAAGATTCATCGTAATGTTATTTAATTTCCTGTATCTTTCAATTGATCGTTTTTAGTAAGTTCCCCTACCAAAATTCTGCACGAATTCCTTGTCTCCTCCGTCATATCTTCATTTCCCGTTAATCATATCCTTTAGGTTTCACTGTTGCAACAATACTAGGCGACTTATATAAATCACGAAGCCCACCGCTGTGTAATATCAAAAATTAATCTCTTCATAATTCTTAGATCCCGTGCACTTTGCTTTCAGACACCTGTAATTTGTTTCTTCCGTCATATTAAGGTACCACATTTCACGCTCATACTTTCCCCGATGTCCGCTTATATTAAAAACACAAGAATAACGTTTCATATTCACCTGACAAGAATACAAAATCACTAAATGTAGATTATAAGGCATAGCTCTATTAAAAACATGACAACGCACTCCACAACCCTACACGGTAAACACTTCAAACTTCTTAACAGGGCGTTTAATTCCTAGTATAAAATGAACTGTAATTTGTGCTAGAAATGAGTTCAAACCCACAGTATGCCTCTCGCTATATGTATCGAGTCTGAATGCCGTGTTCACAGTTGACGCACACTTCTTTAGAATCTCGAGACGCTGATGTCTGTACATACCAGTAAGAAGAGCGATCTCATAGCTGCTGCAGCTTCGTCTGATACCACAAGTAACAATGACCCGCCCTGCTAGATACCTTCGCTTTCTTATACTAGCAGCCATATTGCTTCGGATCTACTGCCATAACCAGACTTGATCAGTGTGAGAAAGCTTCTCGCATTAGCATTATTTGCATTTCTACACAGAGTATGCTAATTCTTATGTTTTATAACCGACATGACTACATTGGAAATGTAGACGCTGCAGTTCCCTACTTAATATCGAACAACAGAAGAAAGTCGCATATGTAGTTTTGATACACCAAGAAGAATGGCATAACATAACTGAATGCAGGGATATTGAAATTAAGAGGGAGTAAGAGACAATTTGAAAAAGGAAGAAATCTCATGTGTTCATAGGAGAAGGATCTGAACAATGAACGAGATTTCTGGATCAGAAATACCAGTCACATTTTCTCTAAGTTAATTCAGTGATAGCAAAGTCAGTGAAACGAATCTACAAGCAAAAGAACACATTTTTCATAAGTGGAATTTAACATGTAAAGATTGAAACCTGCAGTCTGCATCAATTACTGAAAGGTTATGTATAATTGCTATATTTTGTAGCAGTTTCTTTTAAAATGTGGGAGGGGAGGGCACACGGTAGCGCAGTTGGTTGAGCCAGTATGCTACAAGCAGGAAGGTCGCGGGTTCAAGTCCCGATGAGGTCATTGGATTTCTTCAGTTGACCTAACCCTTCCAGCAGCACTATGGTCCTGGGGTCAACTCAGCCTCTAACACAACTGAGTACCAGGAATATTCTTGGAATGTTCTTGGGGGTAAGGGGCGTACGGCACGTAGGGCTGACAACCTTGCCGCCATCTGCGAGCTGATTGTCTAGAAAATTTGGGAACCTCAACATCTCACAACCCTATGGGCCTCCACGGCCTGTTACAGGGATACCTTTACTTGTACTTTTACTTTTACTTACTTCTTTTAAAATCGACTTGTACTTCGATGCTTGTCATTTAAAGAACACACATTATAAATGATGAAATAAGAAAGAACATATTTTCCCTTTTGCATAATTAGGACTCAAACCAAGATTTTAGCCTACAGGACTCTCCTTCCTTAACCCCTTGAAGGATAACTCGTGTAAATAACATTTAAAAATTAAATTCTTACTTCACAATAAACACACTATGTAGATTAGAAAAATTAACATGTTAATACTGTTCTGGAAAATAATGGTTACGCATTGTGAGAATAACACGAAAAATGAATGCACTCTGTAGGAAAATTAAGCTTTTTAATGTTAAAACAGGTGGAATATATAATAACCATTCTGCTTTAAGGAGTTAAAGGTAAAATTAGCCTTGTGAAATTACCATTCCTTTTGTATATGTATGTATGTATGTGCTTGTGCGTATGTCTGTTTTCCCAATTAACCTTTTAAGCTAAGCTTTCACGGAGCTTCGTGTGAACGTTTTGTCATTGAAGGCCACCCCAGCGTCGTACCTTTTTAATTTTTCTCAAGCAGCCAAAAAAAGAAACATGGCGGGTGCGCGAACTAGTAAGACAGGAGCGACACTAGCGCCATGTCTTTAGGCTCATGAAGTAATGTATGGTAACAGATCTCCGAAAAACTTGCAACTTTTACTGATTGTTGTTTATGGATTAATTAACGACACTGTCAGGCCGCGCCATAGCTCAAGCGGTTAGTCGCTGGCTTCACACCGCGGCGGCCCGGGTTCGATCCCGGGTCTGGTCAAGTGGGATTTGTGGTGGACAAAGTGGCGCTGGGGCAGGTTCTCTCCGAGTACTTGGATTTCCCCTGCCAATCTTCATTCCACCAGTTTCTCCACAATGACCCTCACCTATCATCTGGGGCTGGTACAATAGGCCAGAAGTGGCCGCAGTACAAGGGACTTAGTCCCACCGCACTAGCAATAAAGAGAGAAAACGGCGCTGTCAATTAGTAGACTGTGTAGTGTCGAATGGTATGGCCAGAAGTGAATAGTAAATTGGAAATAATGTAAAATAAACCAGTCTTGGCAGATTTAATGGTACTGGTGCGGAATTTTACTGGAGGGACTAACGAAAACAAAATAATATCTCAGTCATGATAGTCAGCATCCAATCCGAGTTCCGAAATGAAAATGTCCCGGATACAAGTTAAAAGTGTTACCGCTTGATCAGACTTGCTAGGTCAGTTTTTGTTGCAGTAATACCTGTGGTAGGAAAACAATTTACTTACTTACTCATGGAGCTGAGCCCTTCTTGAGGAGCCGCCAATTCTGCAGCTACTCAAGAATTTCTCAACATTTTATGGAACCCGAAGGTTTATCACCGTGTTCACAAGAGCTCTCCACTGGTCCCTATCGTGAGCCAGATTTATCCAATCCATACCATCCCATCCTATCTCTCTAAGATCCATTCTAATATTGTCCACCCACCTACGCCTTGGTCTTCCCTGTGGTCTCTTTCCTTCTGGCTTTCCCACCAATATCCTATACGCATTCCTCGTCTCCCCCATTCGTGCTACATGACCTGCCCACCACATCCTCCTTGACTTGATCATTCTAATTATACTTGATATGTCAAAAAGTGTTACAAATGAATTAATTGCACCACAAAATTCTCTTTATTGAAAAGTCAAATGAAAACAGCTTATATCTCTAAGCACAGTACTTTTAATTCAGTGAAAATGAAATTCTGAGTTAAATACATTATGGCGTAAGCGTCTACTTTGTCTTCTTCTCATAATAAATGACGATCAGTGATTTAACTGTATCTTTCTTAACACCACAGACATTTTGCGCAGAATTCAAAGCAACAAAAAAATGAAATCATCTCTGTGACAGGCGGTGAGGCCCCATAGGAGTGTGAGAAGTCGAGGCTCCCACATCTTATAGACAGTCGGCCCATAGATGGCGGCAAGGTTGTCAGCCTTACGCCCCGGCAGGCCTTTACCTCCAGAAAGACTGCTGGTACTCTTTCTGTTAGAGGCTGAGTTGACCTCAGGGCCATAGAGCGGCTAGAAGGATTAGGACAACTGAAAAATCCANACTTCATCGGGAATCGGATCCACGACCTTCCGGCTTATAGCTTAATGCCTAAACCAACTACTTTACCGCGTGACCCCAACAAAAGTATGGAAATACAAAATTTTCTGTAGCCTTCGGTTTCATGATATTAAGCATTGAACCACTGAAACTAGCCAAATGAGGACTGGCACAGAGATAGTCCAAAATATACCTACTTTTTATGCATGAAACGTTATTTATAAGAGAAGAATTGTAAACATGGGGACTATGAGAAATTTTAAGGTCATATATCGCAAATTTAACATATTGTCACGAGTATGAGTGGCACTATCGACGGGTTTTGGATAATTGGATTTACGTAATGAACACTTATGAATCGCAATTACAAGTGACGATAACAGTCTCACGGAATTACACACTCAAAATATCACTGTAACTGCATCACACATAATGTCTTCTCTGTCTTCACTAGTCGTTTCCTCGTAACAGGTTTTAACATTGTCCGCTTACGTCCTTACCGTCTGGTACATATCCCACAACTCATTCACTTCTTCCCGCGTATAACTACCTACTACCTATGTACTTCTTTTGGCCGATTTTGGACTTCACCCATCGTCCGGTANCTATGTGTCTATATGTCTGTCTATCTATCTATGGCTCTACAGCCCTTAGGACCTTGGCCGCTTTTTCAGTTTCTAAATTTATACACAGTCGGTAGGACTCCTTGGATGGGGGATCAGCCCGTTATAAGGCCGCTACCTACCCACAGAACAACACAAGCAGAATAAACGCACACAGACATCCATGCTTCGAGTGGGATTCGAACCCATGATCCCAGTGTTCGAGCGGGTGAAGACGGTTCGTGCCTTAGACCGCGCGGCCACTGGGATCGGCACTCATTTTTTTTTACCTGTCTCAAATTTAAAATTAGTTGAGATTAGACTACTCCATGCTTGTAATCGAGTTATATCGTTAGTTTCTGCTAGTGGGGTGGGACTAAGTCCCTTGTACTGCGGCAACTTCTGGCCTATTGTACCAGCCCCAGGTGATAGGTGAGGGTGATTGTGGAGCAATTGGTGGAATGAACCTGCCCCAGCGCCACATTGTCCACTTGACCAGACCCGGGATCGAAGCCGGGTCGCCGCGATAAGAAGCCAGCGACTAACCGCTTGAGCTATGGCGCGGCCACATAGAAAGGGTTAGGCTGCACTGAGTTATGGACCGCCTCGAGCTGTGGAGATGAAACTACCAGTATAGACGATGCTCGCATTACAATGGAGGTAGACGTCCCTGAGAGCTACTGGACAAATGGCCAATTGTTTGCTCCTGATCTCGTTACAAGCCAAATGAAGTGAAGGCAATCCAGTCGCCGGCTCCCGTTCCGCTGCCCTGCAGCCATGCAACGCAGCTGCACACATCAAGCTTATCAAGAGACAGCGTAACGCACGGTACATCATAACTATGACTGATCGTGTGAAGAATTCGGGCCCAAGATTTGTATGGCTGTAAAACATGGTCTCTTTTCACTTAACAAGAACGTAGATTGACAGTGTCTGAGAGGAAAAATAATAACAGATTGAATTCGAGTATTATTTGGTTATCATTGATTTCAGAACCTTCTTTCTTCGCGTCTGCTGTCTAGCAACCTGAAGATTACAATATATAAAACTGTAACTTTGCCTGTAATTTTGTATAGGTATGAAATTCGGTGCCGGTCTCTGTAGCCGAGCGGTCTAAGGCATGTACTGTCTTCGCTCGCTTGGAAACCGGGATCGTGGGTTCGAATCCCACTCAGGGCATGGATATGTAGGTTGTGCGTGTGCATTTTTCTGTGTTTGTGTACAGGTAGAGGCCTTGCGACGAGCTGATCACCCGCCCAAGGAGTCCTACCGAATGTGTAAGGTCTAGAAAAACCGAAGTGAAGGGAGAAGTTCATGGAGAGGTCTAGGCCTACTGGGGCTGTAGTGCCAAGGAAAAAAACAAGAAACGAAACTCGGTCTTTGACATTAAGGGGAGAACGTAGACTGAGAAGAGTGTTTTGAGGGTGTATTGAGAAA